CCAACCCCCCAAAAAAACACTAAAAAAAGAGAGAAGCGGGGATGGTTGACTTTGTAGTTGGAAGTAGAAGGGACACGTGGTTGTTACCTGCTACGCCTACGTGCTCAATATTTACTGGTTTGTTACAAAGAAGGGTCCTACAAGCAGTGGAACTTGGCTTAAACAAGAAACTCATACGCCAACGACATCTTGTAAGATATCCGTGGTGCATGCATGAGATATATTTTATACTATTGTTTTTTCATATATACTAATATATTTGTGGATCCACCGTATATATAATTATTTTATATTTAAATTCATGTTCGCATTATTTATACAACAAATTAAGGAATAATACATAGAAGAAGGTACGTGTCAGGAGGACGCCACCGAATCCCACTTACCTCAATCTCGTAAACTCTATTGTTTCCAACTATATATATATATGGAGGTCCTGGTTCCATTGGGATCCATTCATCCGCCGCATACTGTCATAGTGATTTTACAAGTGAAATCAAATAACAATGTTTTAAATCGCGGTCGCGTTTTCGATTATTTCAGATTTACCGTGATTGCGGCCGTCGCGGTGCTATTGTGGTCGTCGCGGACGCTATTACGGCCGTCGCGGGTAACTCGGACAGCGGCGAACCGTTATATCGAGGACGAAATCGCGGTCGCGGACCGTTTTTTGAAACCTTCAAATAATCAATGGGAAGAACTCCTTGCTGTGACAAAAATGGCATCAAGAAAGGTCCCTGGACTCCCGAGGAAGATCTTATGTGAAGCTTACAAATTATATCCAGATTTACGGCCCTGGAAACTGGCGTACCCTTCCCAAGAATGCAGGTAATATCAAGTTATTATTCCTCTTGTATTCATCGTTCTATATTGTTTTTCAGGATCCGATGATGAATTTGTTCCAACTTTTTATAGGGCTACAGAGATGTGGAAAGAGTTGTCGTCTGAGATGGACAAATTATCTTAGACCTGATATCAAGAGGGGAAGGTTTTCGTTTGAAGAAGAGATCATAATTCAACTACACAGTGTATTGGGCAACAAGTAAGGCATGCAGTCTTTGGTTTTTGTGTTTCATATAATAATGGTCTTGGAACTTACATGGTTTCCTTTTGTTTTGTTTTCGATGTCCAGATGGTCGGCTATTGCGGCTCGGTTGCCTGGGAGGACCGACAATGAAATCAAGAATTACTAGAACACACATATAAGGAAGAGGCATCTAAGAAGCGGGATCGATCCCGTTACGCACGCTCCACGCCTTGATGTTCTTGACCTTTCCTCGATTCTCAGCTCGGCGTTATGCAACCGATCTCTTCTAAATTCTCAACTGCTAAGCCTAGCTAACACCTTATTACTATTGAAACAAGAAAACCCACAAATATTATCACAATATCTCCACCAACAAAATCTTTCAACAGTCTCTGTGTCTGCTGCTGTTCCTTGTACTTCCGTGCCAAGCCAAATGGAACCCAACGGAGAAGGGTTTTTGCAGACGAATTATGTACAGTGTGCACCAAATCCAACGGTTCCTCTTGTGTCTGAAAACTCAAACTTCCAATCGATTGAAGGGAGATTTGGTTCAGTGAGGTCAACTCCTTTGAATTCATCTTCCACATTTATCAACAACAGCATTACGGATGATGAGAGGGAAAGCTCCAGCAGCTTGCTCAAATTTGAAATTCCAGAGAGTTTGAATATAGATGACTTTATGTGAATATGATATTGTTGTTTTATAGCTTTAATCCTCAGACTGAATGCACATTACATCTCCTGGATTAAACCTGATTCGGGTCGAGCTATGGAAAGATTTAAAAACCAATCCCAGTTTATAAAATTATCTTGGTAAAAAGTTCTGATACAACATAAAATAATTAACATCCACAAGCAATACATAAAATGTCATCAAATCCATTTTTTAGATTATGATCGGTCTTTCTATATAAAACGTAATAAATTGATTTAATTTGTTATATATTATGTTTTTCACTCGTATTTAAAATTTTATAAATTAACTATCAACAACCAGCAAAATCGACCCGTACCTAAACACGATCAAACTGTCAAACTGAAATTAATTAATAAAGGGGTCATTTTTTTTCTCCGTTTAAACCAAAAAATGCTCTTTCGTATGGAAATCTCTTGCCCACGTTTGGAACTCCATTTATGTGAACAACTGCTGATCGCTTGGTGATGCTAGAAGTACGTTGTTTTGGAACGATGTGTGGGTACCCGGCAAAGATCGCCTCGCTGACTTGGTTAACCAAAACCAGATCCTTAATCCCCAAGCTTTTGTCCGTGATTTTGTCACAAGCGAGGGGTCTTGGAATACCCATGAGCTACGGCGAAGCCTTGATGATGAAGGGTTCAATGGATCGTCTCTATGCCTCCTCCTCGTGATGATTTTGGCGATGATCTACCAAACTGGAGTTGGGACCATTCTGGGTAGTGTACCGTCAGTCCAGCCTTCACTTATCTCCAGCAAAACAATTGGAACGATCGGAATAAAATTTGGAGGAATGTCGGCAGTATGACGGACCTCAAACAGTGAAGCAATTCCTCTGGTTAATTTTACATCAAAGGGTAATGACGAACTCTGAACGGAGGAGACGTGCTGTCTTCGGATCACCTTTGTCTATTCGCGGTGGTTGCGAAGAGACTATTCTCCATGTCATTCGAGACTGCCCCTCAGGCTCATATGATTTGGGATTACCTCCTTCCCCACCTCTTTTTGATTGGCTGGTTACTAATCTTTCACATAATGTAGGTTTGAACCAGACTGCTTTTCAATGGAGACATTTGTTTGGAATCCTAGTTTGGCTTCTATGGAAGCAATGCAATGCTTTTGTTTTCAATGGACAAGTTCGCTCAATGATGGAGACTATACACTCGGCTTGGAGTTGGGCGCAGGCGATTAAAGAAACTCCAAGGAAGCAATCCCAGAGTGACAGACACGATTATAAGAAACAACAATGGCGTACCCCCACCATGGGTTCGGTCAAGCTAAATACGGATGTAGCTGTTCTTCCAACAACTATGGTGGCCGCTAGTGGAGTTGTGCTACGCGATATTAATGGTGATTGGATTATCGGCTACCATCGAAACATCGGCCGTTGTAATATCCATAATGCCGAACTTTGGGCAGTGCTTGATGGTCTTACAATCGCTTGGGATATCGGATTCAGGAACATCGAAGTCGAAGTTGATAACCATGACGTGGTTAAGACTTTAAACGCCTGTCCGATGTTGCATGAATGGACTATTGTCCGACATATCCGTCGCTTACTTGAGCATCAATGGAGCGCTAAAATCTCCCATATTAATCGTGAAGCCAACGCCACTGCAGATAGCCTTGCTCATATTGACATGAATGGCACCTTAGGACTTACTGTTTACCATCAACCTCCACGAGGAACCCAAGCCTCCTTGCATGCTGATGTTATCGACTGATAATTTCATAAATTAAAATCAATTCACATTTTTTAAAAATTCAAGTTGAGCTTGAAATCACTAGTGGGTTAATTTTTAAATTTGAGTTGAATCCCTCAATTTTACATAATATATATCACATGAAAAATACAAAGATATATATCTTATATGGTTATAGAAAATCATTTAAACTATAAATATTACAATAAATTTAAATAAAAACTCAAACAACTCAGCTCGACTCAAATTTCATAAACTCGACTCCACTCGAAAAAATTTCAAATAAAATTTGAGTTATAAAATAAGACTTATCAACTCAAAAAACTAAAAAAAATTTAACTCAACTTAATCAAATATTCACCCTAAATGCGAAGACAAAAGAATTTTAAGTTAACTACAGAATACAATCGTTTATATTTAAATAAAGTACAAAAACAATTTTTAAACATCTTTTTAAAAAAGTATTATTTAGTAAGATTAAATTCGAATCATAAAGCGTTGACTGCACTCATAATTCAAATTGAATTTTAAAGATGTTGTTAGGAATGTCACTTATAATATAGGTAGTAAAACAGACATAAAAGATAAGATTTGTATATATCCCTAAACAGAAAATGAGCCCATTATAAACATATGCTGCTATTTAAATAAATTAATCCCTAAAACCAGCTTAGAACCAAGGCTTCACCATCCCTTGCCTATGAGCCACAACCAGTCGAGAGTTACCCCAGCGAAGATGCCTCCTAGCAGGAACAAAACAAGCAAATTCCCCAATGCATTCTGCTCAGGTCCCTATAAAAAAAGAAAAAATCATTAATTTTTTATTTTTCTTTCAGGTTTAAAGAAATTGAAGCATAAACAATATTGTAACAAACCTTATAGCCCTTGGGTGCAGAAGTAAGGACACAGACTGTGAGGTAACCATTAGATAAGCCTAAGAAGCTTGTTAGCATGATCATCCAGCCTTGGTCGCCAAATCTAGCAGTGAAGTAAAATGCCGGGACTAATAATACACGAGAAAGTATCACGGTTGTGAGAGCTTTCCTCGATTCGAGCTTCAACGGTTTTATGAGTGGAATGTATCTCCCAATAAGATCCCATACATTGTACATTGCTATCAGAACGAGGGCATACCTGAAACGTCAATGATGAATCTGGTGTAACTTGTAGCTACATATAAACACCTAGATCGAATGAGACAATAACATACCATGTGCCTAAACTGTGTTTTCCAGTATCTTCAGACAAGAATCCAGGAAAAATGGATAGTGTCAGCGCGTATATCAGAAACATGTCGAGTGCATAATCGATATTCTGAATTAGTAACTCTTTGGTGCTCAGCCTTTCCTGCTTCTTGGTGTCTACCTCATCCTGCAGAAGACATTGATTCTTCTTACATAATGAATTGAAAAATACTAGGACGTTTCTTAGGAATGACAGTAGGCAGAATGACATACATTTCCAGGTAATGCTTGGATGCCACCAGCAGCCAGGTCAGCTGCAACAGTTTTAGATCCTTCAGAGGCTGCCTTCGAGCGATAGTACTTCACAATCGATAGTTTTGGAAATACATGCGCATAGAGAAGAACACATACAAGCTCAAAAAATGCAGAGATGGCAAAGAACAGAACTGCACAGAGATGTGGTTGCCACAGAGAGTGAAATTATTAGTCTCGAATAAACCAAAAATGTAAGGGATACTAATGATTTGCCTGTTGATTAATTATTAAGTTTAATTCAAATTTCAGATCCTTAGACTATAATTAACAAGAAAGATGTTTTTCCTTTTGTGATAAGGAATTAAATACAAGGCGATTAAAACTTACTGGCTCCTTTGCGGAAACCACCCTGCGAATTCTCGAATGCTGCTTTTGTGATTAATCTCAAAGCAGAGGTTAGAGCCCCTGATGCAGCCAAACCAGCAACATATGACTGAGGAATCCAGAACATATAACAAAGAAAACATAAAGTTTAGTCATCAGAAAATTCAGCCAAAAGGGAGTTCAATGACATGTGAAAGCGTTGATCTTTTATACTGACTTGAAGAAATTCAGGTTTCATGTAGGAGAGATCTCCAACCATTCCACCTTGCACATGAGCATCTGCAACCCCAAAAGCTCCACTGATGACACAAATTCCTATGAAAGTTCCAAGTCCTCCTTTACCAGAGGTAGCTAAATCCAACTATACATAAAACATAGGGGAGAGAAACTATAAGTTTGAGTTAATGAGTCAAGAACATATGAAAGATTCCAAAAAGACAAGCAGGCTTCAATAGCAATCCTCAATGTAAACCTATCATGTAGCAATAAGTCACAAGGGAACTTACAACTACAACCGCAAGGGAACTTAAGAAAAACAATATATCCAAATAAATTCCTTCTTCTAGTGTTTATTTTTGCCTCGTTGTAAGCCAGTACTGCCAGTGTTCCAAGTGCAAATGGCTGATAAACAAGAGTAAGGACCCTAGATGGGTGGTAATGCTGCACATGGGAAAAGAAACTAGGTTACGTGACAATAACATTTATAATTATCACTATGCATATTTCAAGCTAAAAAAGCAGAGCAACTATGAAGAGTAGAAGTGCTCAGCAAGATAAAGTAGCATTATTTGTAAAAATGTAGAATTTGACAGCAAGACAGAAGAAATCCCACAGTTCGAAAAGTTAGCAGCAGCAGTAAAACCGGTAACAAATTTTGCAATCAGATTGACAAAGTGGCAATGCTTAATAGTTCATTTCTGTTACAAAGGTAATCTAAAAGACCTAAACGTTTATGTATCAATGACCTTTTATCGTATCAATGATCTATGCAATGTTTTAGTCATGACTAGAACGTTGAAATGTATATTTGACTACTTCACAAAAGAATACAGATTGATAACAAAATCTGTTCAAGTCATAGGCTTATAAAGCTCCTTTATTGCATATTGAAACAAAACCAGCTGCACATTGTTTTAGATGCATTTATATAATCATCGAACACCGTCACAAAGCCACAACCATGAGGAATAATTTGGAAAGTGAGCACAAACATTTAAAAAAAATGATATTGAAATTACCGGAAACAAATAAGAGTAGTAATCTTGTATTGTCAGCATACTATTCCAAGAAAAGAGGCAGCCATTCCCGAGCAGCCAACACACAACTATCGCCATGTTCTTCCCCTGTATGACAGGAAGAAAAAAACATATTCATCCTGCAAATTCTCTTAGTTAAAAACTCAGGAGGAATCAGGAAGCTGAATGATAAACCTCAAGCCTTTGAGAAGCCTCATCAGGGAACACCATACTTGCTCTCTATTAAATGCCTCGTACAACGACTTGGAATCAAAGCTGCTTAATATCCAACTAACGGTGGTCAGATTTAATGCTGTCAACAAAATCATATATAAAAAAGTCAAGTATTTAATGTATCTAAATGCTCAGTTTCACAATCATTTATGTGGAATTCGCAGGGTATGAAGTGTGAAATAAGCAAAACATAAGATTGATATTCATAATCCACAATCACAAATCCTTAAACTGGGTTTATACAAAGCAAAAACCTTTAAATTATTCAAACCAGAAGAACCCATGATCAAATTCCCTATACATAACTAAAAGCCAAGTTTAGAAAAATCCAAACTTCGCAGGAAAAAAGAGAGAGAATTTCTGGGTAAAAACACATAAACAACATTGAATCGTAAAAGAAATCGAAAACAAAAAGTTAGAGACAGAAAATGAAGAGATTGAACTTACTTGTCAGAAGAGATCCTTTTCAGGGTCAGAAGAGATTCTTTAAACAGGTTAAACTGTTGGTATCAATAAAATATCCACTTCTGATTATGTCATATGGAGAAAAAGAAAACCAGTTTTTTTCTTTTCTTTTCTTGATTACTGAGGGGGAGTGATGACAAATTCCCTTGGTTGAGATATTATATATGCTGCGTTGAATTTGTAGAGTCGTAGGTGATGAGTGTTTTCGCCATAATCAACCACCTTGTTCGAACACATTTTGCGGCAATGGATATGCATTGGCCAAAGACTATTAAACTCCCAAAACATTCATATTATTTTTAAGCGTAAAGTATAGTCATGGTCACTAAACTTTTCTAAAGTTTTTATTTAAGTCCTCTAACTTTTAAAACATGCAATGCAGTCCCCCAATATTTAGTCCGTTTGCATTATGGTCCCCGACGTTACACTGCCGTTAGTACGTTTGCAATATGGTCACTGAACTTTTTAGACGCTTGCATTTAGGTCCCTAACTTTTAAAACTTGCAACACAATCCTCAATTTTATTCTAAACCCTAAATTCCTTTTTCGCTTCTCTCTTTTAATTTCCAGCGTAACTAAGTTTTGTTAGAAATGCAGAGTTGACAAATACTACTAAGATGAACTAAGTATCATTGTTGAAAGTCACCAACAAAGTTGGAATTATTTTATATAAATTGCATATAATAATTTATTCGTTTAATCCTTGTAGTTAAAGATTTTCCAACAATGATCAAATATAATGAAATCTCAAACAACGCATTCACCTCTCAGTCTCTTTTGCAACTCGAAAGGTATCATGACAGGGTCAAGTAGTTGCTCCGAATATACTACTCTGTCATGATGTCTTTCAAGTTGCATGCATGCAGAATTGTCTTCTAAAGCTATAATTCAATACAATTCAACTATAAATTTCCAAAACATGTAAAAAAATCTAATTCGTTGATATATTAGTCCCATAATCAACATGAACTTATTAAAAAGAATACGAACTCACAGGATGCCGAAAACCACAGGTCGGATCAATACAATTCCCAGTAAACTAGTACCACCAGCATCTCGGGTTGAGCCTAACGATTTCACTATGTCGATACTCACAACCAATTCCCTGATTTAAAGAAAAATCAAATAAAAAGCTCAAAAAATTTAGCATATGACCCTATTTCACTTCTATTCGAATGGACTGAATATCTTTCATAAAGAGTACTAAAAGTTTTGATTAAGAAGAAAGAAAGAAAATTAGATGGTTTTGGTTCAAAACTAACACTGAATATCCAGATCATTGACATGCGGTTCCAGAAACATAAAAATTTCAACAAAAAACACACAATGCGAGTTGAAAATGGGAAAGTGCGAAAGAGGAAAAACTTACTTTCAGATAGCCCAAAAGAGAAAATAAATACCTTTTTGCAAGTGAGGGGAGAGGCTAAGAAATAAACGCAATCGGTGTTGCGTTCCAACAATTCTTCCTCCATTTTTTCTTTATAAATAAAAAGTTAAAAGACAGAGCATTGCTTGGGTTTACAATTTACATAGCGGAAAATTAAAGAACAAAAAACCAAACGAGAGTGCATGTGAGCGAAAGAGACTGAGAGGTGAATAAGCTGTTTGGGATTTCATTATATTTGATCATCTGTTGGAAAATCTTTAACCATAAGGATTAAACGAATAAATTATTATATGTCATTTATACAAAATAATTACAACTTTGTTGGTGACTTTCAACAATGATACTTAGTTCATCTTAGTAGTATTTGCCAACTCTGCATTTCGAACCCCATTTTTTCTCACAATCATTTCATCGAACATCTATGCTTCACCTGAGATGACTTGTATCTAACATTACACCTTGAATCGTTAATGGTCTCGATAGTCCCTTGGTCGGGTCTTCTCTCAATGGACCCTTATTCAAGTCAGCACCTCCACATAATTCAAAGTTAGATTAGAATTTCTCATGCATCCTTGACTGAAAAGTTATGCTGAAAATGAGAAGAGATAAGCAAAAAAGGAAATGAGAAGAAAAAAGGAATTTGGGGTTTATAATGAAATTGAGGACTGTATTGCAAGTTTTAAAAGCTGGGGGACCTAAATGCAAGTGCCTAAAAAGTTTAGTGACCATATTACAAACGTACTAACGACAGTGTAACGTCGGGGATCATATTACAAACAGACTAAATATTGGGGGACTTTATTGCAAGTTTTAAAAGTTGGAGGACCTAAATGGAAGCTTTAGAAAAATTTAGTGACCATTACTATACTTTACCCTATTTTTAATTCTCCCTCTATGATTAAATTGGTACGGACTACAACATTAATTGAATTAATTTGAAATACACATTAACTAGGAATAATACTCGGTTAAATATTTATAATTATTTAAATAATATTATCTAAATCTAAATTAAATTTTATTATTTATCTGATATTTAAATTTATAAAAAATAAAGTTATATATTTTTTATGAAAATTTTAAATTATATTTTAAATATATGAATCCTAGTCATGTTAAAGTTTAGATGATTAATATTATTAACCTACATAAATTTATTTTTTTAAATTATCAGTATCCAATTTATTGATTTGATATATTAAATTTAGATAATTCTAACAAAATTTAAAACCTCAATATTTCAATTGTCTAATTTAGATAATTAATTTTTTTAAGTTATATTAATTTGATTCAAGATTTGGTATTTATAAGTTTTGTTATGGTGTTGTTTTTATATATACGAAGGGGTTATTTTTTTTTGGATCCTCAACATTTTAATTTGTTCTTTGCAGGAATGATATAACACCCTCAAACTGATCTATTTGTTAATTAGATTGACAATGTTACATTACAATATAGATAATGTTATTAGTCCTAAATGGATTATCGAATGGTCAATTAGTTCACTTTATGATTTACGGACTAATGTCTAAAGATTTTAACATTA